GGCAAAATTGAGCAAAACAAGTAATATTATGTCTAAAATGTAAGTCACTTATTGCTAACTTTACTGAACTTGTATAAAATGATTATTAAATATGTTCATGCTGATATCTGCAGAAAAACTGTACTCTTTGTGTGATATAGATTAAGTTAACTATATTAAATTATAAAAATAACAAAGCATACAAAAGCATTTTTGCCATCTACAATTTAGAATGCCTTGAATTTTGAGTTTTAATAGACTAATAAATCAGTGCGTGCACTCTCTGTGTGTAATTTGGTGATATACTTGATAATGTCAGATCGCACATCATTAAAACAAAACTTACCATATTATCACATATATACTGTATATCGCACACCCCAGACATGACTTGAGTGGAAAATGAATCATCCGCGGTTTTGCGTGCGCTTGTTTGCACATGAGCAAAGATGTTTTAGGAGTCTAACTTGCAAGCGCCAGACCACTGATTCGTCAAAACCTGCTTTCTTGCAGTCTGTGTTCTTCTGACTTTATTTTGTAGTAAGTAACGAATATGCTACAGGGAAATGTATCGGAGTAAAAGTATACATTTTAATTTGGAAATGTAGTAGAGTAAAAGTAAAAGTTGCCTGAAATGTAAAAACTCAAGTAAAGTACAGATACTCCCAAAAAGTACTTAAGTACTGTAACAAACAATTATTACTTTGTTACATTACACCACTGATACTGTGTGTGTGTGTGTGTGTGCGTATATATATATATACATATATATATATATATATACACACTGTAGGATATCAGACCGAATCAGACAACCTAAGATTTGGTCAAAAACATGGTTGAAACATGAGAACCCGAATTCCACAGAGGCCCAAGACAACAGGATGTTAATAAATCAGATCCTAGCACTAGCCAGTCTGAAGCCAGCCTAACCAACTCTTTCACAGAACAGCTTTCAACATTAACACAAAAGGAACACACTGATCTTAACAACTCAGGAAGGAGATTGTCAATTTTAGGGCAAGTAATCAAGATTAAATGGTCCAAGAGATGACAGCATGACCATCACGTGATAGCAACCACAATCACGAGCTCTGTGGATTGACTTCCCCCCACCTAGGAGACAAAGAACAGACTGAGATTCACACAGGAACGCAAGTACCTCCAGATCCTAGCTGAACTGGTGCATGTAATATAAATGCTAACCTCATTGAGGAACTCAATGCGAGGGTTAATTAAGTGATTGATGGTTGTTCAGATATATGCAATTGCACATATTGCTGTAAACTTGGGATTTCACATTTTCATTCTCTGAAACTAATTATTTCCTCACTTTCTGTCTTTCTACAACTATAGTGAATGCGTGTGTTTATGTGTTAGATTAGGTTATAGGTCTTAGATTTATCCAATAAAGCCTTATTCATACTGAAAAGAGAAGTATCTTGTGTTTTGTGCACACAAGTTAATGTCTTAAACTGCCGATCTTGTTACTGTGCTAATTAATAGTGTTTTCACTATATTTTGGATATAAATATCCATTGCAGAATTGATGTCATACGGCTCGTTCAATGAATCGCTGGCCGTCTCAGTGATCAGCCATAAAACAGTGATTCTGTCCAAATTCCCTTACATATTATTGGTGGAGTTCCCTTTAAAATCTTAAATGATTCCCTTTGAGCTAAATTGACCTGTTTCCCTTACAACACACACACAGTATATATATATATATTTATATATATTTGGTGTGATTTCTTTTGTTTGTGTGTGTGTGTGTGTGTGTGTGTGTGTGTTTATTGCAAGATATATTTACTAAATACATTAAACTGTTTGTTTTTTTTTGTAACTACATGCACTGGACACTGTATTCTCCATTTTTTGATGTAGTGTCTAATGAATGATTTGTAGTGTGTATATTATTGACTAATGTGTGTATGATTTGAGAGCTTTGTTTGATTTTGAGTACAGGTGAAATGGTTTTGAAGCGATTGTTTGATTTTGCCAGAAGAGTCAGGGGTTCTGTGAATTTAGTTTGAAGGTTTAGATTTGTGTTTAAGGTTTTGAGAAAAGGAGTGATGGTTTCAAGAAATGTGTTTTAGCAATTCAGAAAAACTGTAATTCATTTCTTCTCTTATGTTGTCTCCTTGACTCTTTCTACTCATCTAGTTGTCTCATCATGTCTTGAATTTTCTCATCTTGTCTTTTCTTTTCACTTGCATCATCATTATTGATTTCTTCTTGTTTTGGCTCATCTCATTTCATATTATTTCATTTTTTTCTCTCATCTCGTCTCATCTCTTTTCATTTTGCCTAGTCTTGTCTCGTCTCATCTATTCTCTTTTCTTGTCTCCTCATCTCTTCACTTCTCTCATTTTGTCTCTTCTCTCCTCGCCTTGTCTTCTTGTCTCATCAATGCTCATTTCTCCTCATCTTGACTCTTCTCGTTTAATCTTATTTCATTTCTTATCTCGTCTTGTCTCCTTGTCTCATCTATTTTCATCTCATTTCGTCTCTTGTCTCATCTCTTTTCATTTTGCTTAGTTTCACCCTACCTCTTCACTTCTCTCATCTTGTCTTTTCTCTGCTTTCACCTTATTTTGTCTCTTCTCAACTATTCTCTTCTTTTGTATTCTTTTATTTTTGTATTCTGTTCACAACTAAACTCCCTCTTCTTCCTCTCCGTCATCCTGTGTGTTGTTTTCCCCATCCTGTGATACCTGTTTTATAGTGTTCCTCTCTCTTTAGATCATCTCTGTCAAACTATTCATGCTTGTCACATAATGGCTGAAATTACAGAAAACCACACTGAGTGTACGTGTCTCAGCTCAACTGGTTCAAACGGTTAGCCATTGAGTGATCAAACAAACGTGACAGCCATATTAATCTTTCCTTATGTCCACCTCCACAGCGCCACTGAAACAGAAAAGACAAGCCTAAAGCACAGTTTGGTCCTTTCACTCAGATAGCTGATGTCTTTCTATAATAATAAACAGCAACAGCTCAACTGGCAATTTGGCTAGTGCGCTTCATCCATTATAGTTAAAGGAGAATCCAACCCTAGGATGTGTGATAGAAAAACAGCTGTGTTTGAATTTTAAAAATAGGATGTTCCCTTAGGATAATCCCAATCATTTTGGTATGTACCAGACACATTAACTGAGTGAGTCAAATACACTATTTAAAAGTACCAGTTGACTTTCCTCCCAAAAAGTGCAAAAAAGGGTGATGACCGACCGTATTTGGCTGCACATTTAGCCTCCGAATGCCCAGAGGGATTCAGCGACCATTTTACCTATGATGCAGATATGCAACCCACACAAAATTTACCACCTGGGAGATGGACTGCAGTGACCTTGGATTTTTGGGTAAAAACACCAATGCTCCCTATGCACTGAAGAGTCTGCGTCCAGCTCAGCTGCCTTTAATTACCCCTGCAAGTTGGGTCATTGTCCTTCCCTCCATCTCTCTCTGTAGTGTGTATATTATTGACTAATGTGTGTATGATTTGAGAGCTTTGTTTGATTTTGAGTACAGGTGAAATGGTTTTGAAGCGATTGTTTGATTTTGCCAGAAGAGTCAGGGGTTCTGTGAATTTAGTTTGAAGGTTTAGATTTGTGTTTAAGGTTTTGAGAAAAGGAGTGATGGTTTCAAGAAATGTGTTTTAGCAATTCAGAAAAACTGTAAAATAAAGTTGAATTTGAAATTGTTACGTCCACTATCACACCTGCTGTTCCCTCCCAACACACGAGGGAGCTATCACCTGAATATTAACGTCCGATTCTACCCTGACCTGTTCCGCTGCATCATCAGCTTGTGTATTTATAGGCCTAGCCCGCCAATTCACACTTGCGAAGTCTTGTTTATCGTTTCATATAGGCAATTCTGAGTGTCTACCTCTGTTTATCACTCTCTGTGTTTGGACTTTTACGGTTTACCCATTTACGCCTCTTTATGCCTGCTGTTTTGGACTTGTCAGCTCGGATTACCTTGCCTATTTTGTGCATGATCTTCACCTATTTGACCTTGCTTTGTCTTGCCCCATTAAAATTTCCTGCTCATGGATCCTCTCAAGTCTCCCGAGTCTTCGATACACACACACTCACATACATATATAATTTATTATTATTTGTTATAATATTTTAAATTTTTTCAAGATTTCTATCAATTCTTTTGGCCATGATAATCGTGTAGTGAAAAATCGTGTCTTTTGTTGTGACAGCCCAAATCCATGTCTAAAGTGGCAGTTTCCAGGATCTCAAGGTCTGGAAGAAAGGCAAAGGCGGATGGAGGATGTCCCCATAATGTCAGGGAATCACAATCAGCAGTCAAAACATTAACAAAATGAATCTGTGTAAATCAATTCAATTGAACATTGTTCAAATCAACTGAACATTGATTTAAATGTTTATTGAAGGTGCCCCAGTGTGTTTCAAGCTCTGTTTGGTTGGCCATAAGGAGCAGTAAGTAAGTAAATAAATGAATAAATAGGTAAATAAATAAATACATACAAAATCTGAGTGTTTTCATACACATTTATGGCCCATATTATGAAAGCACTTTGGTGATGCAGGGCCAGATAGGGCAGAAACTGTGTTGTTTATTTGGGAATGAGGACCAATGCAAATATCCTCCCCCTCCTTTTTGTTTCAGCCAATGTAAAATCACATTCCCCTCATTTACTTGTACAAGTGTCATTACATTTCCATTATGCCCTTAAATGCTGTTAAAAGTATAAATATAAGTTTGGTAATAAAATTGCTTTCCAGATCATTACAAAAATCAAGTTAAAAACTGAAAAATATTCAGCCTGAGCCCCAAGAGTTAAAAGAAAACTGATTTATGGAACTAATGTGGTTCAACAAAGTAAACCTATGCTGAGGGCAACCAAAATATCAAAAATAACAGACACTTTTAATATAAACACAACATAATTATGTATAAGTACAGGGATGGGAGGAGGGAAAAAAACAAACAAAACAAATAAGCTCAAATCTTTCCAACTAAAGATATTTATATCTTTATTTATTTACAGTGGACATGTACAATGTAAAAAGTAATTTATATGCAAATTGGAACTAAATGCAGCAGTGTGCAGAATAGGCTATCCAACAAATTAAAATAGGACAGAATTGAAGAAATAAATTCAGTAAAACAGAAAGGAATCCTGGTGATTACAAATATCAAGGGGAAAAGTGTATTAGCAAAACTTCTGAATTTGTCTTTTCTTTTACTTTTTCCCCCTCCATTCACTACATTATTTTCATAATGTACCCAAAACTCACTTGATAGATCTGCTTGGTAAAGTGTGCTGTTCTTACAATCTTTTATTTATATCAGATCCTGGTGACAGTGGAACATGAAGCTGAATAGCACAGCCCTACTTTTGTTTTCAGACACTATAGTTCCAGAAAAAAAGAAAAGTCTGTGTATACTACAAATCCACTAGCATGGTAAATTCTTGGATTCAATAATAAAAATTACCAGTGTTAATACAATGTAAGCATCACAGCATTCTCTCCTCTCACCCCATCTGTTCATCTAGGTAATGTCAGATATCAGGACATGGCAACGCAGGTATTCTCTTGAACGGATGTCCGCCTGTACAAAGATAGAAAGAGACCGAATCTTAGGCAGGCCCGTGTGGAATCTATACCTGCACAATGCAGCAGATTTAACACCCACCAAAAAATAATATAGGACTTACAGAGTATTTAAAAGTTGACTATGCTCTACATTTACCAGCTAATACGCTGTGTGCTGTGGTTGGTATCCTATTTTTGGCTTATTTGAACTTTCAGTAATATTATTCTGCATTCATTTAAATCTGCCTTTTAAAATGTTAAATTTTTTCCCCCAGTAATATTACAGAATTTTTTATGATGAATCCAGCTAGTCAATTTTAACATCCTGCAGAGTTGCACACTGTTCACGGGGTGATTATGCCTGTTTGCTTTATAGTAACATACATACAGTTATATACAGTTGAACTAGCCATTCAGAAGGTAAAGTTACTTGTTTTCTTCTATTCAGGTTTTTCTCAAACGGTAGTAAATGCTAGTAAACAATAGTAAAGGACCATGTATGTGTATGTGTGTGTTCAGTAATATTACAGAATTTGTGTGTATTATGGGAAAGGCTTCATCCCCATAGAGCTGACAAGATCCACCATAGGCAAGCTCTCAAAAAAAAAAAGAAAAAAAAAAGACATAAATGAAAATGAAATAAAGGCTCATTTGCTTTCTAATTAGCACATTAATTAATACAGATACAGTCATTGAAGCGGCATACAATCGCCACATAGAGGCTAGGTAGTGGGCTTGTGACTCGTTCGCACTCGGTCATTATCTCATCCATGGAAGACTGACGATCTTAACTTGCTTTTGAATTTTATTAAAGGTGACACATCATGAAAATCTGACTTTTCCAGGTTTTAAGTGCTATAATCAGGTCCCCAGTGCATCTACCAACCAAGGAAACATGAAAAAGATTAACCAAGTAACTTTGTTTTGGGAAGCCTTTTTCTGAAAGCGTCTGAGAAAACGAGTGCGTCTGATTTCGCTCCCTTGGTGACGTGGCAAAGGGATTTCTTTATAATATTACCGCCCCATAACCTGTAAGTTTACACCCACGGCGTTTCATTTGATTTCGCAAGCGACAACGGTGTACCAGCTCTAATGCCATGGAGAAAGTTTGAGCAAAACATGCTAACTGTTCTGTTTTTGGCTGCACAGACGAGCACAGAACACTATTTACAGTCCCAGCCTCAGAGGAGACAAGCAATGGATTTATTGATTCATTTTCAAAATGATATAATAAATAATCTGTGGAGTATTTTGAGCTGAAACTTCACAGACACATTCTGGGGACACCAGAGACTTATATTACATATTGTAAAAAGGGGCATAATATGTCTCCTTTAAAGCATATGAAAACCTGACTAGACCAATGCAATATGGTCAACAGAAAGTTGGCTCCCGCACCTCGCCCCTTCCAACCTAACAAACAATCCGACAAAGGAAATAATAAAGAAAACGGAAGTGATCACCTGTGCCCACGTGACCTTGAATAACCAATAAGAAATAACAAAAACCGACTGTTTTTTATGACTGTTTTTTGTAACTCGTGTGTTTTTAACGTAAACCTGTGTGTGAACAGGTGTGAACAGAACTTAGTTTAGTACTCACATGCTGTG